TTTGTAAGCACAATCGTAAAATTCCTGTTTTAATTTTTACCAATGGTTAATTGATGAAACGTAGTCAGATCACTTCATATAAAATATATTTAATTAAAATTGACACGTGACCTATTTGGCCTTCTACTTACAACTCGGCGGAAATTTGAAAAGAAATTTTGTATTTTCACACAAGTATTGTTTACAACTGGCGTGGTTTCGAAAAGCATAATTAAGTGTCAGCGGTATATAATCAATTAAATACTGAACTTTATTGAAATTTATTTTTTTGTTTATTTTTGTTATATCTTCTTAAAAACTGACGCCATCTCACTATTTTATTATTTGTTTTTTTTTTTTTTGTACGCATAAGGATAAATTTTACCTCTTCTCCTTCTAATAATAGCTCCTGCACCTAACACGGCGGAATAGTTATTATTATCTATAAGACCATTTGCGAAAACAGTTTTTGTTAACAGTTATGAGTGTAACATTTTATCAGCTGCTTTGTTTATAGTGCCTTGAGCAACACTTTGCCGGTTTCTGTACAGAAAATGATGCTGGCTTTGCCAATACGGATGGCCGCTACCATTGAATATAATACCCGCTATGTTACACTTATTTACATAGAAACTTTAATTATCATTTGCATAAAATTCTAAATAGCACATTTTACACAAGAAAGTAAACTTTTAGATCAGTCCATCTTGTTTTTCACTAATTAAGTAAAAAGTAAAACAAACCAATAGGGCTGGGAATTAAAATTTCTTGCAACTTTTTATAGAAAAGCATGACCTTATCATAATATAAAAGTCAATCATTTAGCCATGTGATAAAACTTTTAAGTGTGCCAGTCAAACATTAATGATGATATGTTATTATACTGGAAATAGTCTTTTAAATATTTTGTAGTACAATTGATAATCTTCAGTAAGATTGATCGTGTATATGACTTTTATAATTCTATGTTATTTTTGATGAAAATTATTATTGCAGATAAAAGCCCTTTCACATTTATTTTAGTCTCGAATTAAATTAATCAAAATGAAAATAATAACATTGGCTCCTTATAACTGATCTTTAAATGTAAAACACTGACTTGAAATTATATAATTACTAGCATTTTTTTAATTCATTGAACTTTTTTAAGATTTTGTTGAAACTCTACTGGTAAAAAAAAACAAATATATATAAAAAATATATATTATAGTTCTTGATGAAAATAATGTATGTGCGTTACATCGCATCCCATCAAGAATTTTTAATGTAATTCTTGGTGTAAAGATAAGACGTGATAATAACTGTAAACAATAGAATAACAAAATAATGAAAACATTTACATTTACATACAAAACATTTACAAAAATACTTGCTTTATAACCTAATAAATATTATTTGACCGTAATAAAATAAAACAAGGTAGTATTGGGCATGAAAGTAAAAATAAATATTTTCGATTATTTTTGCAATATCTAACAGCCGGATCAGCGCGCGATTCTGATCCATCTAAAGATGCTAAATTTCAGCAAGCACTGTCAAATTCAATAGGAGTGACAGAAAAACGGTTCTTGATATAGAAAGGTAAATAAATTATTTAACCTATAAAGTAAAATCACTTTATTACAAATCAAAATAGCCCAATAGCTTTATTAAGATGAGACATTATTGTACGAGTACTTACAATACTTAACATTATTTTACTGAAATCTCAGAAAGTTTTTTTTTAAATAGAATAAGGGTGACAAACTAGCACACAGTCCACCTGATGGTAACTGGTTGCTACGGCCCAGTATACATCTACATCTATTCTCGATTACGTATCAAAATGTAAATGCGTTGTCACCCGTGAGGACTAAGATGTAATGCCTCGTTTCCAGTAAAAAGGTTCTCCGGTTCTCTACACTCACCATACGAAACACAGAAGGGTTAAACTGCTATTTTACATGTTATTCCGTGAGAGCGTGGCCCTTCCCCGATCGAGCCGACCCATTCGTGCTACAAGTATACCTAATAAATATAGCTGTAGCATGGCTCTACCACGTAAAAAAAAATTGACGTTGAAAATTTAAGTATTTTTAGAAGCAACTTTGCAATTATTTTCTATTGAGTTAATTTTTGTGGAATCGTGTTTTGCAAACCGCCACCTAAAATACGTACAATTTTTTTTCGATAATGACGTGAAATTACTAAACGATCCCCATGCATTTCAATGTGGCTCTATTCAGCCTCTTAATATGAACATACCTTGGATTTCAGAGATAATGGAAGATATAATATTATATTATTACTGTTCCGTGTGAGGCAACCTTTATACTTATATACATATTCTCATCACATTTTTATGGTTGGTTAGAAAAATTATATCTAAATGCAAACTTTCACAAGGTAAATTTTTTTTTTACTATTTTTACCCAGCAAGTAGTAAAGCAACTACAATCCCATCGGTAAGTGGTTATGTAGTCTAAGATGGTGAATTGCACTGACTTAATAAAAACCTATTCACTCTTGCTTAATAGTACTAGGTAAGTATTATTTGCGACCTATTTGTGTGTGTGTGTGTGTGTGTGTGCGCGTGTGTGTGTGTGTGTGTGTGTGTGTGTGTGTGTATGTGTGAAGAAAAGTGTATGAGAATACGTGAAGAGGAATAAAGGTTGAGTACTAATTCGCTTACCTGTACGAGGTTGCCACTCGAGGGCCTTTCTTCCTATTTTTTTTATATGTTTTCCAAGTTATATAGCTAGCCCATTCCGTTTCACTGTAATATTCCGTTGAGCTATGTCAGTTACTCTGATTCTAATGCAAATACCTTCATTTCTAACTTTATCACGTATAGAAACCCCTCTCCAATTTAAAATTATTACATTTTTTAGATGATAGTTTGTCTAACATAAAAAAAACCATAAACCCAAGAATATCATTATATAGTTATTTATACTTAGGTAAGCACCATTCTTTTATTTATTTAAATTGTTTGATTTAATTTGATAACAGTGTACCTAAATGTAAGTATCTGTATCTTTATTTCTCTCCCCAGTAATATTTTATAAAGTCATACTTATAAAAACAGCGTTTTATTGTAATACATAATTATAAAATTCATTATCAAATAATTAATAAAAATATGCAACAATAAAATTACATGGGTATTAAAAACTATCGAAATCTAAGTAACGAGAGCATGTTCGTCGTTCCACATCTAAATTATATAAAAATGCATTTTTCAATTTCACTAATCAACGTCGCCGTAAAAATTTCTTCTTCTTTGGGCACTTTAAAAATTCATTTATTTAGAAAATAATATTTACAGTTACCAGTGTACAGATATTAACTAAATTAAGTATTTCTAGTCATAAAAATATTTATAATTGAGTATAAACTTTTAAAAAACTAATATATATTTGAACGAAGTCGCTCCAACACCGACGTGCGGTCCACCCTCGACGATGTCCGAAAACGGACTGTGACAGAGCTTACATGGCGACGGAGCATGCGCGCTCGCGTAAATATATTCAATTTCAGGGAAAAATGATATATTCTCTTATAAAACGGGTAATAAAAATAAAACTCTCAATTAAAAATATTAATATTTTTAAGACCTTTTTTTTAGTGTAAGAACTATTTAAAAAGCTTGTGCCGTTTTGGAGAAATTTTGCAAAATATGACAAAGATAGGTACTCATTGGGGATTTTTTTTCTAATAAGGGGTTGACAAAAATACAATTTTGTTAAATTAAAAACATTTACCAAATCTTCTTCTGTTACCTTGTATTTTTTCTTTGTGGATTAAATGAACAGTTATTGAGATTTTTTTACTTAAATATCCTAGATTTAGGCATTTCAACCACTGTTAAGGCCTTAACTCATTTATTCATAAATTGTTAGATGCGCCCTTTTTTCTTACGACCGCGTGTTTCGTACCGAGCTAGATACAGGTCGATAGCGGAGGGGGTGTGGGTACAATCGCGTTCTAAAGTACTACATGGTATTGGGCTATTGTTTTATAATATTATAGTAATTAATTGTTTTAATGTAGAATCATAATAGGTGTTTTACTAGCTACTTAGAACTTTGGAAGAGGTGGGAATTAAAAATGGATAATGTTTACATGAGCATTATTTGTTATTTCTATCGTAAAATATAAAGTAGTTTGTAACAAGAAAACTTTAGCTAAGGGTAATGATAATGATGAACACGCCGTCCATTATGACGTCTAGAATCACATGGAAGCCAGATGTTAATGGTGTGTTGGTGTTACTGGATGCTACTTGATCATCACTTTCATCTTCGCTTGAGCTTCCGTCATCAGGTCGATCACATGGTAATTTTTTCGGTATTCTTCCTCCACACTTTTAACTTTACTGCACAATTTTCCCCATTCACCTTCTCCTATCATATTTACCTTTTCGATCACTAGTTTAGTCATAAAACAATAGATATAAATAATTTTTCTTTCCTTCCTTTTTAAAACATCGTCGCGAGTCGCAAAGTAAGCTGTGTATGTGACTGTATTTTTGGAGCGAACAAAGCGCGGGAACCAATAGCATGCAGGCACACTAATACTGGCGGATTGTTCCCCCGTCGCGCGCCTTTCGTACCAATATGTGATAAATCGCTCAGTGCCCAAGTTCAAGGCCAGCGTTTGTTTTTCACCGTTCACGCGTACATTAACCTCCATTAGTCAGGTGATATCAATTCAGTTTCCACCGCTGGTTTTATGTTTCAGTATTTTCATGATATTTTTTATGAAATTATCGTTTCATTTAGCTGTACTAACATGATGGCGCGTGAGTAAAGCTAATAAAACGTTGTTAAAAGATGATTTTTTTTTCATCAGGATCGACTTTATTTGTAACCCATGATCAAAGGTATACTTGGTGCTGTCGCCTGTCTTAGTTTTCGGGAGCGTTCCAAAAATACCCTGTATATATATATATATATATATATATATATATATATATATATATATATATATATATATGAGGTGATACTAACTTAATTAAACTTAAATATATACATTAATTATTAGATACTGGTTTTTTGATTGTCTTGCATTTCCGCAAAGGCCTCCCCTACAACTTGCCACACTTTTCGATCCTGGGTAATTCTCCTCCAAGTAACTCCAGCAATTTTTCGAATATCATCCTCCCATCTAAGACGCTGCCTTCCTTTATTTCGTTTGTTTTGTCTTGGACACCACTCGGTAACGTTCTTAACCCATTTTTATTTATTACTCCTCCTCATATAACCTGCCCACTTCCATTTTAGTTTTCTTACACAGTGTGTTACATCATTTATTTTAGTTTGATTTCGTAATGTTTCTAGTTTTATTTTGTCTTTTAGCTTGATGTTGAGCATGCTCCTCTCAATGCTGTGTTGGACAGGTCTCTAGTTTGCGCCGGTTATGTTTCGTTAAACTCCATGTCTGACATCCATATGTCATGATGGGTAAAATACATGAATCAAAATTTTTTTTTTTAGCTTTCAGTTTTATTTTTGGGTTTTTGACAATTTCTTTTAGGGACCAATATCTCTTCCATTCTAGCTGTACTCTGTTGTTTATTTCTTTTGTTGTAAGATCTTTTGGTGATATTATCTGTCCGAGGTATATCTATATATTCTTCGACATATTCTATTTTTGTGTCGTTGACTGCGATAGGAACTTTATCGTGGTTTGTCATTACTTTGGTTTTTGTAGCGTTCCTTGAAAGTCCAACTCTGTCGCTTTCGTATACAAGCTCTTCAAGCATCTCTTGCAGGATTTTTGGATCTTCTGAAATTAGAATTAAATCGTTTGCAAATCTTAGATGGTTTATTTTGATTCCGTTGAAGTTTAGTCCATATTTATTCCACTCGAGACGTCTAAATATGTATTCAAGCACTGCCGTAAAAAGTTTGGGTAATAGTGGATCCCCCTATCTGACTCCTCTCTGTATAAGGAAGTGATCTCGCGCTCTTTTTTTTTTTAGAATAGAATAAAATAGAATAGAATATTTTTTTATTCAATATTCAATATACATTACATGTGTAATTCTTATTGAAAGTCATTTTTTACTTTACCACTGGTTCGAAAAAAAACCCTCTGTCCTGGGAAGAACCAGCAAGAAACCCAGCGGGACTTTTTTTTAAAATAAATTTTACAATATAAATGATTACGAACTATTTACAAAATTTATTTTAGAAACTGCTTGAAAGCGACCACCTCATTCCCAGGGGTTATTATCAACCATGTATTCATTTATACTATAATAACCCTTTTTATACAGTTTTAGCGTAATAAAACATTTAAACTTGGTAATAGAGAGAACTTGTACACTTTCCGGGATCTTGTTGTAATAGCGTATACATTGCCCCAAGAATGAATTACTGACTCTGTGGAGTCGAGAAACTGGCATCACTAGCTTGTGTTTGTTCCTAGTGTTTACAGAATGTATATCACTTTTTTTACTAAAACTATCTTTGTTTTTGTGAACATACATTAAATTTTCGTAAATATACTGAGACGCCAAAGTTAATATATTAATTTCTTTAAATTTATCTCTAAGATACTCTCTCGGTTTTAGATTGTAAATAGCTCTAATGGCCCTCTTCTGTAAAACAAAAATAGTTTCTGAATCAGCCGCATTTCCCCATAGCAAAATCCCATAAGACATTATGCTATGGAAAAACTAAAATAAACTAATCTAGCTGTCTCGACATTAGTGAGACCTCTAATCTTTTTTACAGCATAGGCTGTAGAACTTAGTCTGCTTGCTAATTTGGATATATGGGGGCCCCACTGGAGCTTTGCGTCAAGAGTGATGCCAAGAAAAACAGTGGATACAACAGGGCTTAATTCCTCCCCATTTAAAAACACATTGGTATTCAGATTTTTAACATTCGTTGTTGTAAATTTAACACAATTAGTTTTATTTCCGTTCAAATGCCGATTATTAACGTTAAATCAATGCACTAATTTTGATATAGCATTATTCACTTCGTCACATTTAAATGATTGACGTTTAAGTTTAAAAATCAAGGAAGTATCATCAGCAAATAATACTATATCATGACTATCCCCCATAAGGTGAGGTGAGTCTTTAATATACACCAGAACCAGGAATGGGCCGAGAATCGAGCCCTGAGGAACACCCATTAGTACAGGTGACCCGGAAGAACTTTTACCATTGATAATAACGTTCTGTTTTCTATTACTTAAATATGAAATAATAAGTTTAAGCGCTGTGTTCTTGACACCATAGTACTGTAGCTTCCTCATTAATGTCTCATGGTGAACACAGTCGAAGGCTTTGGAAAGGTCACAAAATATACCCAAAGCATCCTCTGAATTCTCCCATGCACAAAAACTATGTTTAATAAGCTCAACTCCAGCGTCAGTTGTCGAACGACCCCTAGTAAAACCGAATTGATTTTTATGTAGTAATTTATTAATATTAAAGAAACTTAACATCTGATCTAAAATAATTTTTTCAAAAATTTTACTTAATGTTGGTAGTACAGAAATTGGGCTAAAATTGGCGGGGTCTAATGTACTACCAGATTTAAATATAGTTATGACTTTACTATGTTTCATTAAATCAGGAAACACACCAGATTCGACGCTTATATTAAATATAGTGGCTAGATAAGGTGCTAATATATCTATTGTAGATAAAATAACTTTAACGGAAATCCCCCATATGTCTGCCGTTTTCTTAATATCAATAGTTTTAAAATATTTAACGATATCTTTTGGCAGTACTCTACGGAATTTAAAAGTATTTCAACAAGCCTATACATTTTGTTCGAGCAATGATTCGGCGACAGTAGGAGAAGAATTTAATGATTTTGTTGTCAAAAAAGGAACACCAGTAAAATGTTTCTCAAAAGCCATAGCAACGTCTTGATCAGAACGCGTTAAATTATTGTAAATATTCAATTGAAAATCCGAGTTGCGCGGTTTGACCTTGCCCGTTTCACTATTTATTATTCTCCAGGTCATTTTAATTTTGTCGAATGCAGTATTAATTTCGTAGGTTAAATGTAAAGCCTTAGCAGTGGAGAACACTTTTTTAAATATTTTGGAATATGTTTTTACATAATCTCTAAATATAACACTACTATTATATGATCTTTCATCATAAAGCTCGTATAACCTTCGCCTACTTTTATAAATTTTACTGTCGCCCGAAGATATCACGGACGTCAGTCTGAGCGAGATTAGAATGGCTCTCCAGCACCTTAAAAACGGTAAGGCCCCAGGCAGGCGAGGATGGAATTACAGCGGAGCTTCTGAAAGCGGGTGGAAGACCGGTACTTGAAGTCCTTCAGAAGCTCTTTAATTCCGTCCTCCATGGTGGCATTGCACCGGAGGCGTGGAGCAGAAGTGCGGTGGTCTTGTTCTTCAAAAAAGGTGACACCGCTCTCTTGAAGAACTACAGACCGATTTCCCTTCTGAGCTGCGTCTATGTGCTGTTTTCGAGAGTCATTACGAATCGTCTCGCGCGCAGACTTGACGACTTCCAGTCTCCCAAACAAGCCGGTTTCCGAAAGGGCTTTAGCACCATAGACTACATACATATCCTTCGGCAAGTTGTACAGAAGTCCGAAGAGTACAATTTGCCACTATGTCTGGCGTATGTGGACTATGAGAAAGCCTTTGATTCCGTCGAAATTTGGGCAGTGCTGCAGTCCCTTCAGCGGTGCCAAGTTAACTGTCGGTATATCGAAGTGTTGAAGTGCTTTTACAGTAGGGCTACGATGGCTATCCGAGTACAGAACCAGAGTACGAAACCTATCCAATTGCAGAGAGGTGTAAGACAGGGTGACGTTATATCCCCGAAACTCTTCACCGCTGCATTGGAAGACATTTTCAAGCTTCTGGACTGTAAACGATACGGTATCAACATCAATGGCGAGTACATCACTCACCTTCGATTTGCCGACGATATAGTCCTTATGGCAGAATCGCTGGAGAGCCTAAGCACTATGCTCAATGACCTCAATAGTGTTTCCCAACGGATAGGTCTTAAGATGAACATGGACAAAACAAAGATCATGTTTAATGTCCATGTCACACCTATGTCGGTAGTTGTTGGGAGCACTCAGCTCGAAGTTGTTGACGAGTATGTTTACCTGGAACAAATAGTCCGACTAGGTAAGTCCAACTTCGACCGAGAGGTCAATCGACGGATTCAACTCAGCTGGGCAGCGTTCGGGAAGCTACGACACATCTTCTCGTCAGACATACCTCAAAACCTTAAAACGAAATTGTACAACCAGTGCGTGTTGCCAGTGATGACTTACGGAACTGAGACGTGGTCCTTCACTGCTGGCCGTATGAGGAAGCTCAAGGTCGCTCAGCGAGCTATGGAGAGGGCTGTGCTCGGAGTTGCTCTGCGTGATAAACTTAGGAATGAGGATATCCACAGAAGAACCAGAATAACCGACATAGCCCAACGGATTAGTAAGCTGAAGTGGCAGTGGGCCGGCAATATAGCTCGAAGAACCGACAACCGATGGGAAAGAAAGGTTCTCGAGTGGCAGCCTCGTACCGGTAGGCGAAGTGTAGGGCGTCCCCCCACGAGATGGAGTGACGACCTGGTAAGACATGCAGGAAGTCGATGGATGCAGGTGGCTCAGGACCGTGCTTTGTGGCATTCTTTGGGGGTGAGGCCTATGTTCAGCAGTGGACTTGTGAAGGGCTGTAATGATGATGACTGTCGCCCATTCATTAAATGATTTGCGACTGTTAAAAGAGAAAGTTTTAGAAGTAAATATTCTACTAAATTCACAACTTATAATTTAAAATAATGTAGCATACAAATAATTAGCACTATTTTTAAACGAAAGTGATGGAAGTCTTTTTATTATATTACTTCTTAACCTCTCCAAGCGATGTTCATTTATTGCAACAAACACAACTTTCTTATTTTTCTGTTTTTTGTGTATGTAAGGTAGTGATACTAACCGTCCACAATGATCTGAACTTAAATTTTGAATAATTGATTTATGCAAGGGTTTAACATCTGTAAAAATGTTATCTATACAGGTCGCACTAGGCCCAGCAATACGTGTTGGTTCTAAGAATAAATTTACAAGATTATACGATTTAAACAATGATGACTTTCTGTTCGTATTTTTGCTTTCATGTTTTTGTATATGTTGCTAATTAGTCGTATATATATTTTTTTATCACTCATTACAGCCCTTCAATAATCCACTGTTGAACATATGCATCTGCATAGATTGCCTCCTATAGGGAAGTTTGCCTTGGTTTCCACGCGTGAAAGGTGGGTTTGGTAAGTGCATTTTTTATTATTTTGTGTTGGTGTCAGACACAAACTCCACCTCTTGTTTCTTGTCTCTCTGTTGCCTCTAACGACATCCACGTGATAATAATATGGGGTAGTGGGTTCTCTTTTGCCGTGTCATCTGTAATATATTTTATGTTTATTTGAAGCCTGGTAGATGTGGAAGATGCTAATGAATAGATTAATAATTGTTTATTAGTTAACTGTTAATCTTCTTAAGTTCTATATTTAAAATTTATCTCAAAACAAAAAGTCAAATCAATAAGGAAAAACGAGAAACAAGTCTTCCTGCATAAACAAATGATGTTAGGTAGAAAGTTAAATTACGGTATCATACATCATTCGAATACACGAAACCACATTCCGTAGTCGTGTTGTTTTGCTCGAGTAATAATTAATTTAGTTTCAGTTTTATATTTGAGCATATTTTTTAAAAAGTGTGCCTTAAGTTTTTTCGATGACGTTTATGTTTAAATTTTTTTTACTCAAACCATTGAAATAACCTAATATTTTTAACGCCAGTTGAGCATATGTTTCTTAGAATTTCGATATTTTTTTTTCACTGTTTATAGGTTTATTTAAAATTTTATATTATTTTTTGGACCTCGTTAGGTAACCGGCAAGATCGCCAGACCTCACGCCAGTCGATTTTTTCTCTAGGGGTGCATCAAAGACGATGTGTATACGGATAACGTGAAACAATTACGCGATCGAATACTAAGTGCATTTGAAAAATTGAGGGAAATGGCTATAGTGACAATTTATTATGAAATGTGCGGGAAAACATAAAACGCCGTTTAGTTATTTGTATCTGCCAACACGGTGGTCTCATTGAAAATAAGAAAATTTAAAATAAAGACAAATAAAAGTATTAATTAGTGATGACAGTTATAACTAATAGTGAAAAGAGAAGGTGATATGATAAGTGTTTGACCATGCACCTCCGCTATAGCTGTAGCATATAGGTACAAGACGCGTTGCGCGGTTTCCAGCGCGCGAAGCGACGCGTTGCCGCTCCGAGTTAACGTAAGACACCTAGGTAAGTAATTTCATGAATGAATTTTTGCAAGGGTGATCTCAATTTTAGTTACTTTTTTTATTATTTAGTTTGTTTGAAAACATTTTTTTTTTTCAATTTTCGAATTATTTAACCTATCAAAATTAATATGATTAATGGGCACTAGCCCTACCCATGTGTTAAATTAAAGTCACCATTGTATCGGTCACGTTGTATATGTATTTTTGGGTAGATATGTAAATTTGTTTATATACTGATATATATGTATGTATATGTACCTATATATTATTATATGTTATACTTTATCTTTTATTTTGTATTAGTAATTTATATTATTTCATGTATTAGTTATTTATATGTTATTTTATTGCATTTATTGTGTATATATCGCATGTATTGATATTATATTTTGTATATTTATGTTGCACGACCTACATAGTATTCATTATTATATTTCCTTTGGTTGTCTGGAACAGATCGCTATGTAGCTATAAGGCCGCGAAATTGTATATAATTATAATCTGCTTTTTGTTATGTCATTTGTATATTTGTTTGTGGTGTACAATAAAGTATATTCATTCATTCATTCAATCATAAACAGTCAGTGAGTTGCTTATATTAATAGGCACCTTAATACATAGTAATATCCCCGCCATACTGGATCTGGACTTGGATTTATATCTGCAAAATAAATTAAACAAAGTTATAAATAAAAATAAAATGAAACATATAATAAAGGCCCATAACTTCAATGATTGTAATATTCAAACTCAAGACGATTTTGATTGCGCAATATATACTTATACTAACGATACGCCTTGCATTGCACGAGTGATTTCTAGACGTCGACAACTGCGCCAGCTACCAGGTCTATTTGTGAATCTAAACCACTCTCGAGTCTATTTAATCTGACTTAGATAAAAGATAATTCAAAGTTGATTTTTGTGGTTATATCTCGATTCGTGATACTCAAACATTGGGTCGAATTTCTAGTGTTTCCTTTTAATATTTTTTTGCGAAAATACCCTTGTCCTTGTCACGTCATCCCTTATTTTTATCATATCGAATCTACTTACTGTCTTACGAAAAAAATTCGATTATCGAGTTCTTTTACTTAAAACAAATAAACAAGCAAAGAATAAATAGCACAAAAGCGCTTGGAATTTGATTTCTTATTCTTTATAAACAATTTAAAAACATAGAATTTTAATAAAAAGTAAAAGCATTCTTCAAAGAATTAAAAAGAATGAAATGAGTTTAGGTAAGGAATATCAAAAGCTTGAATGTTATTAACTTAATTATTTATTTTTCCACTCTTAGGCTTGGGATTTTATCTCCAATTTCAAATCATTTATATAGGACCACTCCTGAAGTGTAATATATTTAAAAAAAATAGCTAAAAATAGTACATTCAACACAAAAGGGAAATATGCTATACATTCTCCTAATGCCATACCCGATATATATGAGATCTGCCTAACAAATACCACATTACATTACAAAGGACGGAGTATTCATCGTGCATAAAATGCCAATGTGTTCATCGAGGCGTGTATCGTAGCGCCACGTTGGGATTAATTTTGAGCAGAACCGCCACTAACTCTCAGAACACCTGTGCCTCCCTCCTCTCCCCTTCCCCCTTCCCCCACCTCATTCGCTCTGTTGAGGCCTTACTCTAGACCTGCCAGGCCTAGCCGTTTTTATTACTAACTACTAATTTTACCTAAATAGTTTGTTACCTTATAAAATACCAATGATATTCTGTGTTACGTAATGTAGAGAACCGTATAACCTCTCCAAAGAGTCGGATACTTGAAAAGGCAACAGCAAAGTTGATTAGCAGTTATTCGAAGATCCCGTATGATGGTAACGTTAAAAGAATCCATCGGTTCACCTCATTCAACTGAAGTCATAAAAGGCGTAATATTAATTGTTAGAATAATACTAGGGCCGGCGGACTAAAGCACATAAGTCAAAAATTTATTTTATTTTTTCTTTGTACCATAATTATTAATTTAAATCAACACACATCAGCTGACTAAAGCACATAAGTCTGTTCGCTGGGTTGGGCTTGAATCTCAAGTGGCGTCCTTTTTCAACCTCTTGATTTGCATGAATCTTGCGACGTTATAAAAAAAAACGTAAGTTGAGTTATTTTGACGCTCTTGGACTTCATGGCTACAGAAAGTGACTTATGTTATTAGGAACTGCGTCGCGTTATCTCGATGTTTAAATATGGGGGTAGATAC